ATGGAGTGAGGTGTAGATCTTGCTTGAGTTTTTTACAGATAGTTTTCCTATTTTATCAACACTAGTTGTTAAAAAAGCTGTTGTTTCCCCACTTAACTGATTTCATCTCCTTGTCAGAAATCAGTTTTCCATAGATAGATGCGCTTATTTCTGGATTCTCAATTCTATTCCATTGATCTGTGTTTCTGTCATTGTACCAGTACCATGCTGTCCTGACCACCATTGTAGTAGGATTTGAAATCAGGGAGTGAGATGCCCTCTTTCTTGTTTCTCTTTTTTAAGGAGTACTTTGCTTATTAGAGCTCTCTTTCCATTACAAATGAAATTGGAGATGCCTTTTCCATCTTGTTGAAGAAAGGAATTGGTATTTTGTATTGAGCTTGCATTGATTGTGTAAATTGCCTTTAGTAGTATTGTCATTTTCACAATATAGAGTTTTCCTATCCAAGAGCAAGGTATATTCACCCATTTCTCCAGGTCTCTCTTTGTTCCTTGTAGTAATGTTTTGTAATTTTATTTGAGTAGATCCTTTGTGTTTTTGGTTAGATTTACTCACAAGTATTTAATGTTGTGATTAGCTATTGTGAAGGGTATTGTTTTTCGTATCTCCAGTTCTGTAATCTCTGTCACTGAAGAGAAATCCAACTGATTTTTGTATGTTGGTCTTGTATCCTGCCACTTTGCTGAATTGGTCAGTTATGTCCGGTAGTTTTCTTGCTAAGTCTTTAGGGTTTTCTAAGTATACTGTCATATCATCTGCATATAGAAATAATTTTACCTCCTCTTTGCCAATTTGGATACCTCTTATTTCCTTCTCTTGTCTTATTGCTTTCACTAAGACTTCCAATACAATATTGAATAAGAAAGGTGCTTGTGGTCCATCCTTGCCTAGTTCCTATTCTCAAAGGGAATACAAGGCTGCATTTTTTATGGAAATAGATTTTTACTTCTTTGTTTCGTGATATAGTCAGTACATCCAAACTATTGATCATTTTATTAACAACTGAGTGTATAACCACTGTGCTGCTAGGGAACGTTGGATTACATTGACATTCTTTAGTTATAGTGAAATATAATAAAATATGGAATACAAAAAGCCGAATAATTTTCAAGATTTTTAAATTCCCACACAGTAAGTAGAGGAATTTTCTTTCTTTTACTTTTCTCTTAGATGATTAGAATTTTTTGTTAGCTTTTAGCAGATTTATTATCTTTTTATGTGACAGAGGATATTTAATAATCCAACATATTGCGGATCATCTGACTGGATCTGTGTTCTAGTTGCCAACAGTGAAGTACAAGAACTCACTATCAGGAGATGAAAAGACATAGAAGGCTCAAGAGGTAGATTCTGAAATAACTGTTATTCTTGTTAGGTGCCGTCAAGCTGCTTTCACCTTATAGTTGGAACTCATAGTGGCAGAGTAGAATGAAATACTGGCCAGTCTTGTGCCATTCTTGCAATTTTTCCTGTATTGTGAGCCCACTGTGTCATTTCATCTCCTTGAGAGTCTTTTGTTGTTGTTATTGTTGACCTTATAAAGCACCTATTTCTATTTTGTCTTTCTTACTGCTATTGAGTCAGAACCAACTCATGGCTGACTATCCAGGGTTTTTGGATGGTGAAAATCACATGGCAGAAGATTGCCTATCTCTCTCTTGCAGAGCTGCTGGTTGATTTGAACTGCCAGATAGGGCACTATGGTTGTGTTGGCATTGCAGCTATGTGCAGACTATGCCACGAGAAGGATTCTGCAGGAAAGATGGAAATTTGATGAGTTAAAAATATTGTATTTATTTATTGTGTTCTCAGATCATAGTTTACAATGTGGCAGGGAAGGAGATCAAAAGTAATGATAGAATTTAAATGAAGAGAAGACCTATAGTTCTTTATAAGGAATAAGAATTAGAGTGTTCATATTGAAGAACAATAGGAGATGAATATGATGGACAAATCTTTAAGGAGAAGTGGAATCAAGGAATAACATATAGCATGAACATTGTACAGGTATATAAAGTAATTTTCAATCTGTAAGGAAACTGCACCCATGAATTTTAATCTTTACTAATGTCACACTGAGCACATTCTATCATGCCTTTGGAAGATTTTTTTAAATCTTCACACTATATGACAGCACTAGTATATTCTACAGTTTAATTTCATATTTAATAAACAGAAAATTCTGACTCATTAATTTATAAAGACTTAAGAATGAATAGATATCAAATGTCAGGCTTTGTATTTGAGAGTTTAACATAGCCATGTGGTAGGAGTCAAAGCGTGTGACTAGGAAAGCCATTTTGAAAAAAATCTATTATACCAAAACCATCATTGAAAGGATATGTAATTATTAATATAATTTCATTAGAAAATATATTTCTTTTCCTGTATCTGTGGAATAAAAGGACTAGTACTATTCTTAAATATTTGGCTGCCTTATAACTGTTGCTAAAATTTTAATAGCTAAAATTTATTGAGGTTTTAATATTTATCAAGGATAATACCTTGTAACCTTTATACCATATAATTTTTCAAGCTGCTTTGTCAAATTGATTCCTATTAATCTTGCTGTTTTTCAAATGAAGAATTGAGATTTAAAATTAGCTAAGGAGCTTACATATTGATGGCAGAGCTGGATTTGAGCCCAGATTTGTCTGGCACCAAAGCCGTGTATTTTTGACAACTCTTCCCTTTTAATCCATGAAATGTATTTTTTCAGGATGAAACATAATGATATGTATTTATCAGTTGTTTATAAAGTATTTTTTTTTAAATTGCTGTGAAAAAATACCTTACATGGAATATTTTATATAGAATCTTGTAAGGCACCAGTATTTAATAATTGTGCATTGGTTTGTTTTAGTCCTGCATAGAAGGCATGTAAAAGGAATCGTCTTGAATAATTGAAAAAAGTAATTTGTAAGAACTATAATTTGATAATCTACTTCTGAAAAGCCAGTAATTGGAAATCCTATGGAGCACAGCTGTATTCACACACGTAGAGGATTACACTAAATTGGAATTGATTCAACAACAACTGCTTTTGGTGTGACATAAGTGCTTTAAAGCAGTAGAATTCTTGCTTCCCTGAAGGAGATCCAGGTTCAATTCTGGGCTGTTATATATCATGTGTAGCCACTACTTGTCTCTCATTTAGACTTGTGTATTTCTCTGATGTGGGACAAATTTCAGCAGAGCTTCTAGACTAAGATAGGTTAGAAAGAAAAACACCTGAATGTGGATCGTAATTTGGTCTAATCACAGCCTATCCTGGGGACAGTGCAAGAGTTGACAGCTTTTCATTTTCTAGTCCTTGGGATTCCCATAACTGGGACTAACTTTGTGACAATCTCAACAGTCCCACCAGTGACAGTGAAGGAGTGAGCTTATTAAAATTGTACAAACTCTATGAAAAAGGCAATGTTCCTATGAATTAGAGAAAATATTGTTTTTCTATAAATAAAATATATCAAGTAAGAATAATCAACAATAAGAAATCAATAATTTAATAAAGATCAGTTATATACCTACTTGATTGTTCTTTACACTATCTCTTAATAGTCTTGGTCAACTTACTGCAATAATTTATGAGAAAGTGATGAAGTCTTGAGGTAGATTGAGCCTCAAAATGATCAAGTTACTATAACATACAATAAATGATTCATTAGTTGCTAATTTATGAATTTTACTCTTTCAGTATGGAAAGGTACTCTCTGGATCTCTTGTGGATTTTAACAATTGAAATGCCAGGACATGTGATATTCCCCCTTAGTGATTGATTTTATCTTTCTACTAACTTAGCTAAGTAATCTAAGCAAACTAATTGCTGCCAAGGTGATTTTGACTCATGGCAATACCTTGTGTCACAGAATTACGCTTTACAAAGTTTGGGTAGCTGATTTTTTGAGAGTACATTATCACATCTCTTTTAAAGTACTCTGGATGAATTAAAAATGTAAATCTTTCATTGAGCAAGAAAGCAAGCAAGTTATTGGTATCTCCTAGAAACTGCTGGGTAGCTTAACAATGTGAAAATATGGACATTTACTCTGCCTCAAGAATGAGCTGATACAAGGTTTACTGTATTAGAAGAATGAAAAATTTCTGACCTCTTTGATGTTTATCTGTACAATATTGTGTTAGAGTCTTTAAATTATTTGACTAAGAAGGTTGGCATCATTTTGCTGGGTTAGAGAAGGCCATAAACATGTACATGATTTTCATTGAGGATCCCTGGTAATGCTGTGGCTGCTAACTTTAAGATCAATGAGCTGAACCCACCAGCTGCTCTGCTTCCAGAAAGATGGCGTGTACAGAGTTATAGCTTTAGGAATCTTATGGGCTGTTCTACTTTCTCCTGCAGGGTTGCGGTGAGTTGTAATTAACTATGTAGCAATGAGTTTTGGTTTATCTTCATTGTGTTTTTGTCAGGTTGGATACAAATTTTCTTTGTTTAGTGGATTTCTTCTTAGGCATTGGTGATAGCTGTATACCCAGATATAATTCTTATCTTTCTAGCCTATTATTTAATAACTTTTCTTTTTCTCTCGTGCATTTCAGTATCAGATTTCATGCATCTATTTATGTAGTACAGTGTTTTTTAAAAATTATAGCCTTATTTAGATGTATTATGATGTATTTATTATAACTAGCCATACTTCTAGTTTTCCTTTTAATATAAAAATATTGAAGACCCAGGAGTATTCTGTAAACTTTTGTTGTAAGACTCTTGTCTGAGATGGTATTACCAAATGTTTGTTTCCAGTCTGTAGGTTTTCTTTTCACCCTGTTGGAAAAAGTTTTTGATGTGCACAGGGATTTAATCTTTAGAAGGTCCTATGCATCAATTTTATCCTCTTTAGATTGTACGTTTCTGGTTGTATTTGGCAGTCTCTTTATACCTTGCACTAGTACATCTAAGCTTGATCTCAATTTGTCTCTTATGAACATTATGGTTTGGGGCTTTACTCCCAGGTCTCTGATTCACCTGAAGTTGATTTTTGTGTATGGTGTGAGATGTGGATACTGTTTCATCTTTCTACAGGTGGAAGTCCAGTTTTGCCACCACCATTTGTTGAAGAGGTTATAATTTCCCCATTTGATAGCTTTGATTTCCTTGTCGAATATCAGTTGACCCTAGATAGCTGGGTTTATTTCTGAGTTCTCAATTCTGTTCCGTTGGTCTATGTGCCTGTCATAGTACCAGTACCATGCTGTTTTGGTTACTACTGCTGTGTGGTAGGTTTTGAAGTCAGGGAGTGCTATGCCTCCAGCCTTATTTTTGTTTCTCAGAAGTGTTTAACAAAACACCTGATAACCCAGTTACAAAATAGGCAAAACACATGGAAAGGATTTTCAGAGGAAGATATTCAAATGGCAAACAGACCCATGAAGAAAGGCTCCAAATCACTGGCAATAAGAGAGTGTACCTAACCACAATTAGGTACCATCTCACTCCAGTAAAAGTGGCAAAGTTTAACAGGGCAACAAGTAATAGATGTTCAAGAGGATGTGGTGAGAAAAAAAACGCATACACTGTTGGTAGGATTGTAAAATGGTACAGCCATTCTGAAAGACAGTTTGGCGCTTCCTCAAAAAAATTAGAAATTAGAAATTTAGAAATTCCATATGACCCAGTTATTCAACTACTTGGAATATACCCTGAGAAAACAAGAACTGAGGACAAACTGAGATTTGTAAACGAATGTTCATAGCAGCATTATTTACCATTGTAAGAACATGGAAACAACCCAAATGTCCAACCACAAATGAGTGGATTGAGAAATTATGGTACATTCACACAGTGGAGTACAATGCATCATGCAGGAGCAATGATGTTGTAAATTGTTACCTAACTTGGGAGGGACTAGAGAGCATTATCCTGAGTAAACGAACTCAGTCCCCCAAGGATAAATATTGTATAAAACCAGTATTGTAGAATGAATATAAGGATCCAAGAGGGGTGGGAGAGCATGGAAGCAGAGGGATGATGATATGCAGAGGGAGCGAGGGGGGGGGGATTAACCATGGCGTTGTAAAATTTGATGGGAGGCAATGAGGGAGATTGAAAGAATTTGTTTTTAAAACAATGTATTCAAATTTTGTAAATAAACTAGTAGAAAACGGAAAAAAAAAATTGAAGATTGGTACCTTTGTAATTCTTTCCCCACAGGCTGCTTTGTATCGCCTCAGTGGAGACTGGAATCCCTTACATATTGATCCTAATTTTTCTAGCCTGGCTGGTGAGTTGCAAATAATGTGAATGCATAAAATATAAAAAATATTAGCTTGTCTTAATGTTTCAAAGAATATTTCTAGAAAAACTTTGTTGGTGTGTGATTTGGGAGAACTAAATAGTATTTATAAAGACTACTATATTGCTACTTATGATTCGTAGTTTGAGTAACATTTTAAAAATAGCCCTTGGTGAATTACATTTGTATAAAGAATCTTAGGAAGTAGGTGGTGTTAGTCACAAAAATTCCATACTTGCAGTTGAGATTTTAGTGGGAGGAATCTTCTACTAAGATACATTCTAAGATAGCACCTAGGAGGCGGATGTTTGAATTATTGTGGAGGATAAGGTCATCAGAAGAGAGATCAGAACCTAAAAAGGATACAGAAGAAGCACCTGAACATAAGGGTCTTGAAATCACTGTAAGTGATGACAAGTTATATCAGAAACTAAACAAAACAGTTCTTCCTATTTGCAGTTCTCTTGCATTATTTTTGCTTTTGTTTAACAATTTTCTCACAGGAATTTGATCTGTTTTATTAAAAATAGCTGTTTGTTTTTTTTAAAAACTGTTTTTAAAAAATCCGATCCTCAACTAGGTGTGTATTTCTTATGCAATAACTTACACAAAAATTATTAAAGAAAATAGTTTCTATTTCTTACTAATGCAATTTAAAGGTACATTTGAAAAATTTCATATTAACTATACTAAGTTCTTAAATATGACTGATACTTGTATTTCACGAAATTCTCTCTGTCCTTTTGTAGGATTTGACAAACCCATATTACACGGATTATGTACATTTGGATTTTCTGCCAGACACGTTTTAAAGTGCTTTGCAGATAATGATGTGTCTAGATTCAAAGCAATTAAGGTATATATATATTAATACATTATTTGAAAAAAAACAGTTTAGTGAATTAATTTAAAATGGGTACTGTATGGTAATAATACAGGTTTTCATTATTTTGTTAGCAATGATGCATTTTAATTTTGTAACTACAAATAGCTCTATTATATAGATATATTCTTAAGGATGTTTTATATAGTTAAAAATTTTAACAGATAGGTTTTCTTTCTTATTTCATCATGTTATTATAGTGGGAATATACATAAATAAATATGTGTCTTCTTACTGAAAACTTGAGATTTACTCTTTTATAACTTGGTTTAATTTAATAGAAAATATAAGACACTACATTTGAATTCTAGTGAACATGTACTTTTTATCAATTGCCTCCAGTTGTTTTTAGCTTTTGTATTTTTACATTGGTGCCAAGGTTTTAATCTATTACAACAGAGAAAACAATCTCTGTGCACAATATCTTTTCATAAGAGTAAGTTAAAAGATACATACTAAAATATTTTAAGACTTAGTATCACAGAACTCCAAAAGCTCTTGTCATTTTATGCAATAGTGAAAATGCATTTTCTGAGACCTTATTTTTTATAATACTGGCTAGTAGTATGTTTTTCCTTTTATTGCATCTATATTTGCTATCATTCAGAAATATGTGCACAAAACATATAATACAGTATAGGAAATTGTGAAATAAAAAGTAGTTACCCTGCATACCTACATCATATCTCATTCTCAGAGGTTGATTATTGCAACTTTTTTGACTATTCTGATGATTTCCTCTGTGACTGTACATAATAATTATACTTCTCTTTGTTGAGTCATTTTGATTAAACACTGTTTTTCCTGGTTACCTACTTACTACCTTGCTTAAGTTAGATGTCTAGTTCCTGAATGGTACAAATGGTTGTTAAATGGTCAGCTAAAAGATTGGTGGTTTGAACCACTCAGTAGTATCTTAGATGAAAGAAGACTGGTAATCGGCTTATATAAAGTCATAGCCATAATAGTCCTGTGGAGTATGATTCTTCTGTACTGTACCACATAGTGTTCCATGAGTCAGGATCATCTCCACAGCAACTTCTTTTTTGTAAAATTATTT